AAAAAAATTTAAGGGAAAAAAAAAAAAAAAAAAAGTTGAAAACAAAAAAACTAAAAAAAAAAAAAAAAAAAAAAAAAAAGAAATTAAGAAAAAAATAAAAATCAAGACTAAACTTAATGTTGCACATCAACTTGTTTGACTTGACATCCTGTATGTCAACTTTCCCCAAAACAGAAAAAGCACACTGTCTCTCCAGCATTGACAGGAGTGACTGGGAACTCTGAGCAAAAATATCACAATTCCACCAATGTCAAGATACTGTAATATATTTACTTTAATTAAATACATTCCGTTTGCAACTAGAGCAATAACACACAATTATGGGAGTGAAGTACACTGCAAAGATTTGGTAAATCTTATGGATTGTTAGTTGATTTCGTTTTTTTTTGTTTTTTTTTACAATTTCCATGATTTCTCTCTCTTTAAAAGTCACTTTTGCAGTGCATTCTGAATGTAAATACCCAGTAAGTTCCTCTGAACTTGCTTTCATTCATTTTCCCCCATTACGACAACTTAGTAGTTCTCTGAGCTCAAACTATTTTTGCTTTAAGGTTTAATCTTTGAAGTTTTTGTTTTAATTGCCAACATTTCTCTAAAACCTGAACCACCTTTTTAATAAAATAATAATAATAATAATAAAAAATGGTATTAACGTGGACAGACGTTGACGTTGGTTGCCAGAAAAGTTCTGACTACTGCATTCTTACACTATCCACTTTTAATGCAGAATGAATCCAATCTGGCCTGCAGTTCAGGACCACTGGTTCACTGGGTATTTGAGTGCTCAGGATAACTGGGACAATTTAGCTGCACAGAAAATAATCTAGCCTCTTTTTTGAATATGAAAAAAAAAAAAAAAACTGTTCACCAATTTCTTCAATTCTACTTCTGATCTCGAGTAACTGCTTTACAAGACACACTACAGAAAGGCAAAATAGCAAATATTAGAACTTTGTTATCCATCTAAAACTTTATAAGATACACAGCCAGAGGGGGAAAAAAAACACAAAGATCCTTCCTCTCTTATTCCACTGCCAATGTTAAATTTAGCTTCTCTTTAATTTCTTCTGCCTTGAGTTTTACCCCTTTTATCAGCCTTATGACTCAAAGCACACACAGTCAAGGGTAACAGAATCAAACATAAAATCAACATCAGAAACGAGATAAAAACGAACACCCTGAAACAGAAAGAAGAGAGTGAACCATGCCTGCCTCTGAAGGAAAGCCTCCAGAGAGTGAAGCCTGTAGCTGTAAAAGGCAGACAGAACGGATCTATCAAGGATATTAAACAAAAAAATAATAATCAAAAAGGACATGCAAGTATCCTTTTATATGTTTTTTTTTTTTTTTTTTTTTCCCGCAGAACAGAGTGGAGAATTGGCTTTGGACAGTCCTATCGGAGTCCAAAAAAGAAACAGGAAAATTGCAGTTATTGGTATCATAAAGTAAAACCACAGGAGGCAAATACAAAAAAAAAAAAAAAAAAGAGAGCGGGAGATGAAAACCTGCTCTGTTCTTGAAGAATGACAATAAGAAGATAATTTTGCATAGAAGAAAAAATAGTTTTTGCGTGTCAGAATTTGATGGTGGAAGTTCTTGGTCAACTTTCATCCAGGAAACTGAACTTTATTGGCGGTTTGTTCAACTGAAGTCAATAAGCTCTGCTTGGTGCCCGGATTGTACACACCGTTTCCACACAACACTCCTGCAGATTCTCTAAAAATGCCAATGATCATAAAAATGTGATCATTCTCCAGATATACCGGATGAATAAAAAGCGGGTGGTTCAAATCCTGATGACTCCCCCTGGGAAGGCAGCCTAACTCTGAATTTAAAGTTTTAACAAGAATTTGTCAATTTTAAGACAAAGATGATCTGTTTGAAAGTTAAATCATGAGTAGACAATCACAGGGTCTTTTTGTTGTCTTCCAAGACCTTAAATGAAGCAGGTGAAGAATTAGCCAATTATCTGCCATAGGCATATTTGTCAAAATAAATACTGCAAAGTGAAGACGATATGGTTTAAATGCAGGTGGGAGTTTGTTTGCCAGCTTTTGCTTAAGACATCTAAAAAGAATTCCAAAAGTTTATCTTATTTTATTTATTTATTTTTTTTCTTTGGTAGCCATTTAGCCAGCTAACCCAGCTTGGTGCCATTTTGTAACACGGAAAAAGTCTAATGGTTGGCGTCAGTGGCTAGCTTTCTTTTTAGGAAAAGATTTTCAGTAGCTCTTCACCTAACTATAACCAAAACTAAACGAATCATTATTTTAATCTTACTATATAAACTTTATTTGAGCTTCATTTCTACTTTTGCATTTTCAAGCCCCCACCTTTTACCCTCTCCTACTCCACCTTTCTTGCATTCTCTCTTTCTCTCTCTCTCCAGTTTTCAGGACATGCAGATGATACGGGGCTTGGCCGGAAAACATGATTCTACATTGCTGAGGTCTGGCAAGGAGAGATAGCCTAAATGCAGCGTCACCGCTGTTAGCTGGAAGCAGACCGCTGGATGAAGGATGACCTGAGCCCGAGTCAGGACATAAAAAGAAATATGGCAAGATGTAAAAAAAAAGAAACTTTTTTTTTTTCTTTAGGACAAAACCAGTTTTAGACTATAGAGTTACAGAGTGTAAAATTTGCTTAATTGAACAAGACTAACATTTAAATGCACTTTGTTTTAACCCTTTTCCTCAGGGCTTCTGTTAAATCCAACAGGAAGTTTGCTGCTTTGGCTGAATGAGATGCATCCCTCACAGAAAATCCATGCTGACCCACTTCCTCAGTATGTCAGTCATCTGGTAAAAGGCAACACACTCACACACACTGTACTCTCCCACCACCCTGAAGGCCTACAAGCACGGCTAAAAATAGATACACACTTGAGCTTGGTTCCAGGAGACTTTGCACTTCTCAGATAACAATACGCTGGTTATATTGTATGAGGGCCCATATCGATCTGAAAAAAAAAAAAAATAAAAAATAAATAAAGATAATGGTTCTTCTCTCCGTACTTCATGCTTCTGAAGATTTTTGAAGGTAAAAAAAAAATAAAATAAAAAATCCAATATATATATATGGTGTTTAATCTCCAAAGCCAAACAAAACAAAGAAAGGCAAATTGTGCAGCATGGCTGTTTTTCATATGTTGAAGTCCAGCAATAAATAATAATAATAATAATAATACAAACTTTCTAGTGACAAAAATGAAAGAATATGGAGAATTTATGTAAATTGCATCCATCATCTTGGGTCATGCCAAACCAGAATAGAAATGCAATCCTTTAAAGACTTCTTTCAACTCACTTTTGATGTGGGAAAAGAGCAGATGGACTCAAACCTCTGTCTGGATGACCAAGCCTCTACCACCCATCTGCTAAGGTTAAAAGTGGCCACCCTGGAGGTACGGTCAAAGTAAAATCCCCTCGGCAGAAAGAAACAATAGCGGTGTTACTTCTGGCAAAGCCTTGGTCGGTTCAAGCTTTTTTTTCTGAATCTTTCTAACTTACGCTTATGCTCCTTCCTGAAAGACCTGAGATACGTAAATCACATCTGAACAAACAATGAAAAGAGATTCCCCAGCGAGATGTCCTCCTCTTCACAATTACACTTTAGATCACTTTGATAAAAACCACAAGAATCCAACAAACAAAACAACAACACATGAATCATTACGGCAGGCAGTCCAGGTTGGGTTCAACCTTCACAGGAAAACAACCACAGAAGAAGGACACAGCTCCTGCATCGTTTCTAAATGCAATATTAACATCCCATACTCCTCCAGAAACCCCGAACTAATACCAAAGGAAAATGGCTATAAGCATTCACTAGATATAGTCTCATTTTCTAATGTTTAACAATGCATATATGTAAAAGAAAATCAAGAGGCCAAGACAAAGCAGGTTTGTCACCTACATGTCAAAATGTTCTCTTATTTTTTAGTTTCATATCTTCCATTAGATCCAAGATGACATAAGATTAAAAAAAAAGACAAACAAACAAGAAAAAAAAAACTATCATCGAGTGCAAAGGTCACAGAGAGTAAAACGTGAACAAAATGAAAATAAGACCCACAGATTCCCAACTGAGATATTCTCAGTTTTATGAGAATATCCTGGAAAAGTTCCATTTGCATGGAAAACCTGGCTCAGATTGGTGCCAGGAATGGGAACACGGCATTTTGCTCTGATGACTCAGTGATCTCATGTCTTGTAAAAATGACTCCAGCCGCCAAAGGGAACACGATCATATGCATTCTTCAGATTTACGAAAGTGATTTCAATCGGATGCTCAAAGTTTCCACAGCTGCGTCAGGAGGGTAGAGCTTATGACTCTAAGATCCCAAAATGACTTGGTTTCTTCTCTTTTGTTGGATTCCAAACCCAAGTCATCGTAAGGGCAACATATTGGCAATTTGAGATGCAAGTAAAAAAAAAATATGCCAAAGTTATTTGTCATTTTTAAATAACCCAAAGCAACAGTCTGGTGTGCAGTCACCACTCTGAGTTGCAGGTTTTTTTTTTTTGTTTGACTTTTAATCCCATTCTTTCCAGAACTATCAACACTTCTAATATATATATATATATATATATATATATATTCAAGATTGACTCTCTGCCTTAGCAAACTTCTACAAGATTAATTCAATGAGGGTTAAGTCTGCCCACTGATGTAAAAAAAAAAACAAAACAAAAAACTGACAAGACTATGCCTATGGGGTTCATTGAGTTGTAGTGCCTTGTTGCTTTGTTGCGTTTCTGTTTTGTAGGTGGGGATGGTAGGTGAAAAAGTCACAACTCACTGGGCTTAGGCACAACAGAACACAATCTTACCATTCCCCTGATGTGTCTGGAGCACTAGTTGAGTTTTTGAGTTTGAACAGCACCACTTTGGAGAGTCTCAGCCATTTTCCCCAGACAGACGGGGACACAGTACTAACAGGCGTGTTTTGCTTTCTATGGATTTTACCACACTGCCACTCGTCTGCGATTGCGTCAGTGTCTGTGTGCGATAGTAGCAGGAAGTTGTTTGGAGCCAAAAAGTGGACACGGGGACTTGGAAAAGGCATTGTTGCACATAGCCAACTGGCCCAGTCACTCTAGAGTCATTACCAGATGGATTCACATGTGCACACACACACACACACACACACACACACACACACACACACACACACACACACGCACACACACACACACACACACACACACACACACAGGCACTCGGGAGGATCCTAAAACATGGCCGAAATGACAAAGTAAAAACATTAGTGCCACACCTGAAAGCCATCCACTGCGGAAGCATACAATCACTTCCACAGTGGGCTCAGAGTTCACTCGGACAGATCGGATCAGGCATGAATCTTGCGCCCTGTCTGTAATTTACCCAACACGCACGCACACACACCATCATGAAGCTGGGGCTTTCTAGCCGGGTGTGATGCCATGTGGTTTTGGTGTCACCTGACAAGCATATCAAAGTCCAACACACAGCCGTTGCAATTTGAGGCAAGTGATGTAATGGAGTGCTAATCCATCTGGAGGGCTGGCAGGAATAGTGGAGCTGTTTCTTTAGGGCAC